ATGATATGAGTGTTCTTATTCAAACGTCTTGTGTTAACATCCCACAATAAAATGGTCGGATCGAGCGTAAACATCGTCATATCCTTAATGTCGCCCGATCTCTTATGTTTCAGGCCTCTTTGCCAATTGAATTTTGGGGGGAGTGTGTACGTACATCAGTATATCTCATAAACCGTACTCCGACTTCTCTTTTGCAAGGTAAATTTCCATATGAACTCCTTTCTTCAAAACCTCCAAACTTCTCTCATCTTCAGGTATTTGGGTGTTTATGTTTTGTTCGTCACCTACCACGTCTATCTAATAAATTTCATTCACGTAGTGTCAAATGTATGTTTGTAGGTTATCCAACAGGAACCAGAGGCTAGCGGGTTTATGATCTTGAGTCACATGGTTTCCTTCATACACTGGATATTTCCTTTGATGAATCCGTCTTCCCGTTTGCTCTTTCTTGTGCTAGTGGAACTCCGCCTGAACCATCTCATTCTTCAGTTCATGCTGATTTCCCATGTTCACGCGAACATTAACCCATCATTACGACCTCCTCCCAGCCAGTCACAACACCTGTACCGCAGCCACAGCCGACAGAATCCTCCAGGCAATCCTCCCACTCAAATGACAACGACGATGAAACTACCCCGGACAGTCCTCCATTGCCCTCTCCCTTGCCTCATGTCCTTTCTACACGCCCCCCTGCTCACTTATATGATAATTATTGTCACATAGCCCAGACGATGACTCTTGTTGCTCCTTCAATTCCCTCTTCCAGTTATACAGGTACTCGGTATCCTATCCATAATTTAGTTCATTATGAGAAATTACATGACAGGTATAAAGGATATCTTGCTGCTATTTCTTCAAATGAGGTGCCAAAGAATTTTAAGGAGGCTGTGAAACATGCGAATTGGTGATTGGCCATGCAACAGGAAATCGCGGTGTTGGAAAAGAATGAGTATATAGGCGTGCAACATGTCATTGCAAATAATAGTCCATATCACATTCTCATTAACAATACAACACAATTGACTGTAACTCTAGAAATCATTTCTCTTACACCTAGAAGGAAACATTGGGAAATAGTGGTTTGAAACACCATAAAAAAGTTGTAAGTTTGAGGTTCACACTCTGATTTCGAATAGAAGTCTGTAAGACTATCACACTTAAACAAAGTAGTCTGATGTTATTTTTGGCATAGTGTACTATTATGATCCTCGATAACTTTTGTTGTTTGCATATAAAAAATGACTAAAACAAGAGTAAAATATAAAGAATGAATCAAAATAGGACCTCATGTTTTTATGCCAAAATAAGACCTATAACATCAACATTGCCAATATATAGTATCAAAAATACTATAGAATACCGGGCTAATAGCATGAGTTCCCCCCGTGGTTTACAAAAAGAGCATCAAAACCTCCTCTATTTTCAAAAGTTATTTGTAAAGTCCATATGGTTTCTAAATAGAACACACATTCCCCCTTACCTATATTTAAAGCAAAAATGACATTTATGCCATTTATTTTCCCCGATCTTGAATTTTCTTAATTTTTTTTCATTATTATACAAATATATAAAATAAAATATATGCTTCCCGTCTCAATAAATTCATAATGTACTTTTGAAAACAAAAGATTTTTTTGGAAAATATTACAAAAGAAAATGAAAAATAAAAAATTATGTACAAAGTAAAAATAATAATTGAAAAAAGGTAATGAAAAGAAATAAAAATATAAGAAACCATCTTTTTCTTTAACTCCATATTTTATTTCACCTTTCTGTTCTTCTCTTTTTAAAGTCCTTAAAAATTTTTATACTTTTAAAAAACAAATAAGTTAGAATTTTTAATTAGAGATAGAGTGAGTATATGTTATCTAATTTTTTATTTTATTTATTTTAATTTTACTTAAAATGAAAAAGTTTATTTTATTTAATTCTTTAGTTTTTCATTTTTTGTAACATTTTATTTAAAAAATTATTATTATGAAAATTAAATAAATGAAAATTTTTAATTTGAAAAAGAGGGCGTATATTGCATTTTATTTATTTGTATAACAAAAAATGCAAATAAAAGAGTGAAATTTGAAGATAGAGAAAAATCAAAGACAGAAATGTCATTTCATGTCTAAAAATAGGCAAGAGGGGGCGTCAGTGCACTATTTAAAAACCACAGGGGTTTTACAAATAACTTTTGAAAGTAGAGAGAGTTTTGACGCTCCTTTTGTAAACCATGGGGTGCAGCCATGCTATTACCCAATAGAATGCCATTATCATATTATCACGGTGCAATAATTCTATTTTGGAGATTAAAATATGTCACTCTTATGGGGATAAGAACTATGTTTTGCTCCTACTTTAGTTGATTCTTTTTGCATATTTTTTTTATTATTTGATAAAATAAAATATTCTTGTCACCTTTTATTTTTAGAATTTTTTATGTAATTTTTGAATGTGTCACTTTTATTTTTTATTTAAATACTCTGTACTAATATTTAAATACAATCATTTTAAAAACCACGGGATTTTGCATGCCGTTGAACTAAGGAATTTCATTTTGGGATAGAGGTAGCATTGAATATTGGAGAAATCATCCAAAATAGGAGTAAATATTGAGAAAGTACTAAAATAAGAATCCCGTGTTTTTCACCCCTAAATAGGAATTTGCGTTGTGACAATGTCTAGAAATTGATACAAGAAGAATTTCATTGGATTTATCTCGTAGAATATTATATTTTCAAATGGAGAACTCCGTAGATAAGAGTAAAACACTCTGATCTGGAAATACCAAAATAGGAGTCCAAAATCTTTTAAGACAAAAAATAGGAATTTACACTATCATTGTTACACTAATTTTGCTCGTATTCAGCTTCAACGGTCAATCTAGTGGCAAAAAACCATATTGCCAGCACCACCATAAGTCCGAGTACGATAAACACTTGTGATTGGGATTGCTACTACAAATGTAGATGCATGCATTGTCCATGTACTCATTGATTCTAGCAAACACTCCCTCCAACCTTTTTTAACGGTCTACTTTGGTTTCCGTGTCAAATATTTGACCAAACATATCTATCAAAATATATTTTAAAAAATTATAATAAAAAAACAATTGTTTTTTACACAATTATTATGATTTAATTTTTATATTTTAATTTATTACATATTTTTATATGGAAAATGATAGTATAAACAGAATGGAGGAAGTAGAGAGCACTTGGTAAGAATGAAATAGAGAGTATGATTTTGTTCATTTTGCTAATATGGCCGGCATACGGAGTACGGAGTACACAAGAGGGGTCCTTAAAGCTATGATATCACTTGAGGAGGGAAAATTTCGTTTGTTAATGATTCTGAATAATTATGGCGCTTTAGCTTTCAATTCTGCCAATGAGATTGTGCCTTGTAAACGCAATATTCTTGAATACTTATTCCTATTATTGAATTTCCTCCCAGTAAGTAAATTGACGAGTTAATTTGTTCTTTGTAAGTTTCTTTTAATCTATTTAGTTCTTCTAATTAACTAATAAATGTAAATCAAATTAATCATTTTTGCATAAATTATTCACTAAAGTTATTAGTTAGCACTTTAATTGACACAAAAATTAATACATGAGGTCATTGCACTTCTATCAATTAACATGATAACTCAGAACTTTACTTTTATTCGAAGGATTGACTTGATTCACCGGTCCAAAAGGTGGAATCGCCCACCCCAGGCGTCCCCACCCCCTTGCCCGACAGGAATGGTGGAGGAAGTAAATCATGGTGACTCAGTCGGTCAAGAACGCTAGACCCATGCCCACCGCGCACAAGGAGCCTCCTCACCCTTTATGGGATTTTTGGATAGCTCCCACACTGCCGCTTGCGGGACTCGATCCCTGGTCATCGGTCCAAGATTTCACGCTCTTGACCAACTGAGCTGCCCATGCGGGCAAGAATTGACTTGATTCACAATTTTTAATTAAAAGGACTAATTTAACTTAGTCGAACTTAGAAATATCAAATTGACTCATGAATAAAAGAGACGAAAATAAGTATTCTCTGTCCAATAATTTTCATCCCCTTCCCAACAACCATTTGATTGTCCATAGCAATGACGTTATCATTCAACATTTATTTAAAAAACTGCGAAATGGCAAATTTATTTTACACAAAATTTTGTATACTGCTTTGCCTTTTACCCTAGGCTAAACCTTTTGTAATTCGTATATTGTTTAGTTTGAATTTCTACTCAATGGACTAGTATGGGATAATGTTAAAAAAAAACAAAATGAGAGGAATACTTTATGCATCTTTTTGATAATTATGCGCAAAGAAATGATGAGTATGCCCGCATGGACTGGATCTCTCCATGAAATCCTAACGGAATCAGTTAAAAATTAAAATACAGATGTAGATCAGAACTCTTGAAACAAATATAAATAGAAGTAACTTTTAGGAGTTTCGTATACTTCCTATGAATTAATTACATCCATTGGTATGCGAGCTATTCTCTACAAAAAAAATGTACTCCCTACCAATTATTTCTCGTTTCAAAAAAAAAATTCAAAACTTGACTTGACACAAAGATTAAGAAAACTTAAAAAATGTAAAGACTTTTCATATTTTTCCTTGATGTGATGGAATCAAGTGAATAATGGAAGTATAATGATACATTCATTAATAGTTTTTTGCCAAAAAGAAAAGTGAGAAATAAATTAATAGACAGATGGAGTAATACGGAGTATACAATATAAGTTATTGCCGCCTCGGTTCTTTTGAGTTTTGACACAAGTGCTAATGTTAAGTTATACAAGTATTATGACAACAACAGAGCGTTGATGGTGTTGTTCAGGGGCGGACCCAGAAAATATGTTTAGTGGGTTCATAAATTTTTTAACAGATATAAAATAAAGAAGACTAAATGTAATTAATATTAACTCATACAAATTTGTGTTACTTCAATTCTCCTTCTGAAACTAATAATTTAGTATCAATTACAAAATGAATTAAGAAATAAAAGAAGACATAATATATTCTTAAAAAAACTCCAAAGTATAATCTAATTATCTCAAGGGAGATTATGGTGCAAAAATCATAATTTGTAAAAAAAATCAAAACAAAGTGCAAAAAAACTCCAAAATGCCTTACTACCTCCAAAATATCTAGGATGCAAAAAAAATTCACTGCACACTGCCACTGCCCACAAATTAAACCCAAAGTACCTAAGGTGCATAAAACTCCATAGTATCAAAGGTGAAAAAATTTCCAAAGTATAATTTTAATTATCTAAGGGATATAAATCATATAATATTATAATTAGTAAAATCTAATTATTTAAAGTGTCTTACAGCCCTTAGTTACTGCCTCCCCCAACCTGCCACGCCGCCGCCCGCCGGCCACCTCCTCCAGTCGGCGAGTCTTCCGGTGTCTTCCCGCACGCCGCCGCAAACAAAATAGAGAATAATTTGTAAGACGGAATTTGAGATTATCTTGGGAGGGTTTGAATTGGGTCTTGTGAGGCTGTGATTCCGTCCAAGGGGATAAGCCGATAAGGTGGCTGGGTGAATTTTTTTTATTATACCCAAAACGACGTCGTTTTGGGTATAAAATTTATAAAAAAAAAATTTTGGAGTGACTGCAAGTGACGCCACTTGCACCATAGTGGGTCCGCCCCTGGTGTTGTTGTCGTATGACACTGCTTTTGTTGTTGCGTTGATGGTGCTGTCAACATTTTTATACCTAGATGTTACGTTGTTATTGATCCGTGATAATGTTGTTAAGTTCTTGTGTTGTTGTTGTTCTTGCTGTTCTTGACGCTATTATTATTGTGTTGTTGTTGTTGTGTGTTATTAACTATCATATATTGCAGGCCCAATTCTTCGAACTGCGCGAGGAGGCTAGACAAAAAGGGTTTAAAGTCACCGACAAGGAAATATGGTACTGCGCTAGTCGAGGGCCATAATGCAAAGAACCGCGTCCCTGGAGTTGGTGACTACGAGCGTGAAATGAGGAAGATAAATCCGTCCTCCAAACCTTGCCATTCCAGCACGAGTAGCAGCAGCACAACGGAGATGGCAGCACTTAAAGAGCAAAACCAAAGGTTGCAGAAACAAATTGATAATCTAACCTCGAGCTTGTCGCTGACGATTCAGGAGGAGATAAGGAAGTTATATGGTGGTAACCTTCCTCGACGAGGCAATGATGATGGAACAGGAGGGGCAGGGCAGCCCGGGATTTGTTGACACCTTTACGACCTTAGCTTTCTCCATTTTGAACATTTGACACTAACACTTTAATATTAAGTGTTGTTACATTATAATTGATTATGTTACATTCGCACGTGAATTTTTCATTAATCTAGCTTTGAATTGTCTATTTGGGTGTTGAAATCTTGTTTAGAAAATTATGTGTGTGAAATTTGAATGTGTTTTGCCCCCATTTTAGTAGCTATTGCCTAAAAACAACTTAATTCTGTATCCGTGTTTAGGTGATCTACGACGGAATATTCCATCGCTATTTCTGTCGCAGATCTGCGACGGTCGTGTCTGTCGTTACTTCCGTTGCAAGTCTGTGACGGTATGTTCACCCCGTCGCAGATTTGGCAGGAAAAAATATGCCAAAGCCCGTTGTAGGTCCGTTGCAGGTATGCCACGGAAAATAAATTCCGTCGCAGATATGAAATTTTTTTGTGACGGAAAAATATCGTTGCAGATGCGTCGCAGAAATGAAATCTGCCACGGAATTTCAAATTCTGCCAGGGCAGATTGGCAGTTTTCTTGTACTGATCATGGGAAAAAAGTCTTGCGAAAATTTGATTAAACAATGGGCATGTTTTGGTCATTGCGCATCTCCGTTACTTGAAAAAAACTCTTAGATGAGTAATTTGTGCCATACACCGCTCACCACTTTAATTTTCCTTACTTTTTTTAACAAAGCCCAAACAGATCAGATTATAAAAATCAGGCAGAACCTGAAAATTATTCAAGCCTATTTAAAAAAATTGCTCATGTAACTTGTATTCCGTTGGAAGTACATATAAGATGGAATCCGTGTGTACTGGAGTAACATATATTTGGCTGACCTTATATAGCATACATTCTCCGTGCATTCAGTTTTTATTTGGACGTATGTAACTGCTTTTAATTCATGCTTAAAGTACATAGTATAACAAATGCTTCACCAACAAATTAATTGAAACTAGTAATAAGAAATTGAAGAATTTATTCATAGGAACAAAATGGCGGTCTTATGGTTCATGTTTTATTGTGCTTTGTGTCCCCTTTTCTCTATAACTAATTCAGAGCAAATATACTCCCTCCCTGGACAACCTAAGAATGTTACATCAAAACAGTACTCTGGTTACATAGTATCAGATGATTCATATGGAAGATACACATTCTACTACTTTGTGGAGGCGCAATCAAAACGTTCATCCACCCTCGTCCCTCTTACACTTTGGCTTGGTGGAGGTAAGTTCTCCATTTTTTTCATCGAATTATTTTATTATGAATGAATTGAATGCATAAGATGGTCATCTCTTAACAATCAGCTCATGGTTGTTCTTCCGTTGGCAATGCTTTGTTCACTGAAAATGGTCCATTTAGGCCAAGAAAAGATGGAAAACTTATAAGAAACGCTTATTCTTGGAACTTAGGTAACATTTTAATTTTTAGCCTTTTGTTTTCAACAAACACATATTTTTGGAATGCACATTTGTTTGGAAATTTGATGTATTGAATAATATAATCTTGAAACAAGCAGAGTCAAACATGCTATATGTAGACTCTCCAATTGGAACCGGTTTTTCATTCTCTAACACACCTTCGGACTATACGAGATGGAATCTTACCATGACAGGTAGACTTTTTTACTGCAGTAGTTAAGTTAAACATTTTTTTTTCAGACGATAGTTTTTCAAGAGTAGCTCTTGTTTCTAATTCTTTTTACCTCTAAAATATAGTAACTGAAAACATGAAGTTCATCCTCAAGTGGTTTGACAAATTTCCCAAATACAGAAACTCAGATTTATACTTGGGAGGTGACGGTTCCTTAGGTAAAGGTTTTATTTTACACCATACACTAAAAAAAATTCTTTCCAGACTCTTTAGTTTGAAGTCAAAATCAGTCAATTTTAATTTTCCCGTGAATTTCATTTTATAGGGCACCTAGTACCCCAGCTTGCTGCTTTAGTGCTGGAGTACAACAAAAACAATGTTACTCCAATCAAGTTAAAAGGCCTTGTGGTGAGTTGTTTTTATATTTTAACTAAATAAATACTCAAATGTCTATCTCCATATTCAATTAATAACTTAGTGGTTCAGTACTCGTTTATATATATGAACCTTTTCAGATTGGGAACTTGGGTATAGGTACTCCTCTAAAATATATGGGTGACTATCTATGGTATCATGGAGTCATTTCTCAAGAATTATACACCATGATGAAGGCCGTTTGTAGTGCAGCAAAAGCTAATTATGAGGTCAACCGTGGAAAAATATCGAAAGACTGACTGTGAGAAAATGATAGTAGTAATGGAAAGGGAGTTTGGGGGTATCAATATGGATAGTTTGCTCTTGCCAAATTGTGTAACCGCAAAGTCATCAATAAAGCAACATGTAAGTTCATTTTATCGTTTTATATTTTGTAACATCACTCCCTCAGTCCAAATGAGTTTGTTCATTTTGATTTTTGAATTTAAATTAGGCAAACTTTGATCATCAATAAAATAAAATTTGCATTGTTTACAAACAACAACAACCCAGTTGAATCCCACAAGAGCAAGGAAAATTTGCATTGTTTATTAATAGAATAAAAGAACTTTTAAAAAGTACTTCCTCCGTCCCAAAAAGATTTACACCTTTCAAAAAAATTGCGTCCCACAATCTCCTACCAATTTCTATTAAAAAACCACTTTTACCCCTTACTTTTTCAAATCCTATCTATCACATCATACCTTTTTTCTAATAATCTACACATCATATCCTACTTTTACTCATCACATCAAGGGTATTTTTGGAAAGTCAACACAAAATTATCTCTCCCTTAATTTCAACTTTAGTCAAAATGGGTAACATTTTATGGGACGGAGGGAGTATATTACAAGATAAATTTAATTAAATCATTTTGTACTAATGTCTAATGTACTCGGTAGTCATACAAATGACTAATCCTGCGTAGGAACTAAAGCCTTTAAAGTATGCTTACAAGGTTGAAACACGATACTATATTTTTCATGCAAAAGAACTAAAGAAGTCATTCTCAATATTTATATGGGACTCAAATTGCAAAAAGTGAACAAACAAGCAACTTTTCTCAAGTTAGACTGCGTACCAAGGGAAAATTCTTATTTAGAAATCGACATTTAAGGTGCACATATGCCTTAATCATTGATAAGAATTTATTAGATATTAAGATTTATTCAATTTTTCTTAAATTCGTTTCACATGAGCCCGTTGTTTGTTTTATGTTGTGTTTAGTTGTTGTTGGCATTATTTTTACAAACGAATAGATTTGTTTAGAATTATTTGTTGTTGTTTTAATATAGAGATGTAGCATCTTGTCTGTCACGTTGTGAAGACCTGCAACATCCGATCGAGAATGCTGATTTGATTACGAGAATCCTGACTTGATTACGAGTCGTGAAATTTTGGAAGACTTTTTTTGGAGATATACGCTTGAAAGGTCTCATTTATTAAGGGGTAAATGTCTTGAAATTAGAATTCTAGCGGGTGTGGTAGAAGGAAAAAGAAAGAACTTGAAATAAGAGTCCTATTCCTACTTCTACTTTTGGGCGCTAGGGTTTAAGATTTGCTTATATGTGTCACAAGTTACACGAAAAAGAAAACAATAAAACACAAGAGAACTGAAGGGAGGCGCAACCTGGATTTCTTCATGACCTGATCCATTGCCGGTCTCTAGTTGCGCAGACAGCTCTGGCATATTCTTCACCGGAGACGTGCTGGTCACCGCAGACTGCAAATTCTGGCGACAAGAAATGGTCTATTTTTTTAGGCATAAATTGTCCAATATACCCTTGGTGATAGCCTATTGCTCAAAGGAGTGAGTGACGAAAACCACAGTTCAAATCTGTAAGCTATGGTGTAGATTTGCGAAGTTGATTTTGGACTAGGGTTGCAAACATATCATGCACACCCTTGGAGAAGCAGTTCGAACAAGGTTTGATATAAAATTCTTAGTTTTGAGAAATTATCATAACAACTTAGAGAAGTGTGTCTCTACATGTTTTTATTGACTGGTGTAACCTACTTGTAGGATTTAGTGAAAGGCTATTACACAGATGTGGACCTAGAGACGTAGGAGATTTTCCTCGAAACTGCGTAAATAAATATGGTGCATTGTTTACTTTTTCCCCTTATTTCTGTGTGAGTACATGTGACAAAGAAGATATAGCACTCAAATTTTCAATTGTTTATGTGATGAGTGCTATAACATCTTCCCAGTAGTCTATTTGTAAGATTTGTTTTCATGTTTTATTTTAATTGGTGATTCATGTTGCACTCCGATCATTAAAATTGGTATCAAAGCTTAGTTGGGATTAAGTCATTAGGTTGATACGATCTATCATCATGGGATTCAAGAAGGTGTCAATGTCTTCTGATATCCTCATTATTTGGACATGATTATTCTTTTTGGAAATGTCGAATGAGAGCCTTCCTCAAGTCTCTTGGTGGAGATTTTTGGAGATGCATGAGGCCAGTCCTCACTATTACTCATGGAGAAGGAGAATCGGTTCCAAAACCTTATTAAAGATATTCAAAGAATGAAAAGGCTTCAGCGGAACGACAAGGCTTTGATTGCGATTTTTAGAGCAGCTGATAGAACTCAATTTCGTCTAATCTCAAACTGTACAGAGGCCAAGAAAGCATGGGATATCTTGCTTACAGCACATGAAGGCAGTGCCAAGGTAAAAGTATTCAAAATTCAAATTGTGATCTCCAAAGTTAAAAATCTTAAGATGGAGGAAATTAAGTCCATCACAAACTTTCATGGATGAGTTAGAGAATTTCCGAATGAAGATGAAGAACTTGGTGAGCCATTTTAAGAATACAAACTTATGTTAAAATTCCTCTGTTCTCTTCTAGGAAAAAAACATTGGACATCAAAGTTATTATTAGACAATCACAAGATGTAAAGAGTATGTCTCTTGATGAGTTGATAGGGATGCAAAAAACACGTTAGTTGGAGATGAATAAAAATATAAGAAGTAAGAATCAACGTGTCATTCCTATTGAAAAACATTATTCAACTAGGATGGATGATCTTTATGTGAATGATGAATTTCAAGAATGGCTGCATATGGTTACAAAGGGTGTGAAGAAAAAAAAGGATTTAAAAGAAAGGAATACTCAATTGACGAAGAGAGAAGTGATTGATATGGAAGAAGATGATGAAGAGAATGCTCCAACAACCTGCTCTTTTCCATCCTTCTATAATGAGGAAGATGACTCTAATGGTGGTGTTGATTGAAAGGAAATGCTTGATATTGTTGAAGCTAAATGGCAAGAGTCTTTTCAGGTCAATAAAAAGGTCATCTTGGAGAAGCAAAGTCTCGAGATTAAAAAAATAATCTCAAGGATGAGAGTGTAAATATCAACTACAAGAGTATGTTGCTGAGCAAAAAGGCTATGAAATAACTAACTAAGGAGTTAAATATATACAAGGTTAAAGTGACCGTAGAGGATGATTGAAAGGATGACATGGCAGAAGAGCTAGTTGTTTTCCAAGAGAAGTCTACATAACTTCTTTAAGTTAACAAAAAACATGTTATGGAGAATCAGAAGCTTGCTATTGAATGAATTAAACTCAAGGGGGATCTTTCACAATCACAAAAGAAGATTATATTGAATAAATGGAAGGACAATAATCTAATCTCAGGTATGAACTAAACCTATTCAAGAGCTATCACACAATGTATGAGGAGTGCTAGAGTAGAAGCTATAGAAGGACAAATGGATATTTCAAAATTCCATGGGGACAAAACTAGTCTTAGATTCTCAGGTTTCGTAAGCAACAAGAAGCCAATTGACTTGTATGTTGATTGGAAAAAGAAGGTAGCTCTAGAAGTTCCACAAAGGAAGAAACCCAAAACTACAAAAACTGCTGAAGCATCTCACGCAGCACAGTGTGAAGAGAGGATAACAAAATCATCATCCCAAACTCAGAAGGTAACCTTGCACTTATGTCTATGCTAATTATGACTGGTTTTATTGTGGAAAAGGGAACACCTTTAAAGGCAATGCAAAAAATACAAGGAATAAAGATCTAGAAAAAGGAACTTGACAACAAAGATAGTTTGTGCTCTTAAGAACCAAAGCAAAAACATGTGTTAATTCTTGTGTCAAGGTTATTGCTTCTGACCAATTCCTTATTGATAGTAAATGGTTACATCATGTGATAAGTGAGAAAGGAAGACGTCAAGTTGAAAACAAAGAAGATCATTGTGTTAATAAGAGAGTTGAATCATCACATAAAAATGATGAAGTGATACCTTTTAGTAATGAGAATGTGAAGCTTATGGCTATGCAAAATCAAGAACTAGATACATATAAAAGAGAATTTGATGAGAATCATTTTGGTATACTCGGATCCCCCTTAGCCCTGCACACACCCATCTTTGTTTGATCTACAGGATTCTCTATGAAGAGTTTCATCTCTAGCATGGAATACATTCGAGCGTGAATATTATGTTGGTTGTGTATACATCTTTTTATTTTTGTAGTTTGTGATATTCTCATATGCATCGTCCGAGGGGGAGCTGTTCAAGTGAGACATCTACTATGGGTTGACGTGACAAAGTCTAAGTCTGTTTTATGATATTCATTCTTGTAATTCTATTACTCTCTTGAATGTTACTCTTCTTAGTTTATTCCAATTTTCAATTATATTATTTTTGGTATTTTTAATGCAAAAAAGGGGGAAAAGAAGTTCAAAACAACTGAGATTCTTTTTTGTCAACGAAATTGCCAAATGGGAGATTGTTAGTTTCATGTTGTGTTTAGTTGTTGTTGACGATATTTTTGACAAACAAATATTTTTTTTTAGAATTATTGGATGATGTTTTAGTATAGAGTTGTAGTATCCCATCCGTCACCTTATGAAGATCTGCAGCATCCTAGAATCCTGATTCAGTTAGGAGTCGTGAAATTTTAGAAGACTTTTTTTCGGAGATATGCACTAGAAAGATATCATTTATCAAGGGAAAATGTCTTAGAGTTTGAATCCTAGCGTGTGTAGAAGAAGGAAAAGGAAAGAGCTTGAAGAAAGAGTTTTATTCCTACTTGTTTCTACTTTTGGGCTTGAACTCATAATCCTACTCGGTAGGGTTTAGGGTTATATATGGCACAAGTCTCACACAAAGGAAAAAAAAGAAAAACACACAAGAGAACTAAAGGAAGGCACGACTCAGATTTCTTTGAAACCTGATCAAGTGCCGGTCTCCGACAGCGCAGACAACTCCGACGAATTCTTCACCGGCAACGTGTTATTCACGCCAGTCCAGCGAGCTGTTGGGACTGCGCATGCCCTCACCCCAACCTCGCATTAGTATGATGTTGTCCGCTCTGGGCTAAGACCTCACGGATTAGGGTTTAGGGTCACCTTCCAAAAGGCCTCATACTAATGGGGTTGGGTGAATCTATATATTTTGGTTCATTTACTCCTACACATCCGGTGGGACTTGGAGGAATCCCAACACGAGCTTCAACGGTGCACAATGCTCTAACTCAAGCTTTCTTCACGAGCGGCGAGGGTGACTGCAAAATTTAGCAACAAAGAGTCATCTGTTTTAAGCATAAATAGTCCAATATACCATTGGGGATAGCCTATACCTCAATGGAGTGAGTGACGCAAGTTGCAGTTCTAATCTACAAGCAACTGTCCAGATTTGTGAAGTTTATTATGGAGCTATTGAAGATGTGATGGCCTAGAAGTGGTTCGAAAATGGTTCGAGATAGAAGTCTTAGTTTTGAGGTCTTGTCATAATAATAGATTGGGGAAGTGTGTTGTTATTGATCAGTGTGACCTACTTCTTAGATTTAGTGAAAGGTTATTACATAGACGTGAGCCCCATAGATGTAAGAGATTTTGTTCCCAATTGCGTAAACATTTCTGGTGCATTATTTTTACTTTATTTTCTACGTGTGATGTGACTTAAAATGTGATATAGCAGTATAGCACTTTTTCTTTCAACTATTTATGTGATGAGTACTATTACATCCTCTGAGCAGCCTCTTTGTCCAATCTAGTTGCATAGTTTAATTTAAGGGGGCGTTTGGTTCATGTTGAGGAAAGGGAAAGGAAACAGGAAAGGGAATCAGGGGGAAAGGGAATGATTACCACTAAATTACTCTATCTGTTTGGTTCAGTACAGGAAAGGGAATAGAATTCCCTTTGTTTGTGTTTGGTTCAAATTAGGAGAATCAAATTTTTTTTACACAGCTATAATCAATTTGTTAAAAATAATACTTATTTATTTTATTAAAGATACAATTAAACAAAATTCACATATCACAACATACTTTAAAGATGATACAACCATTTCAAAAAACATTACCCGTCTAAAACTTCAAAAACAGAACAATGTCAACAATACAAGGGAAAAAACCAATTGTCATGAACAAAACAATATCGTCCAAAATAAAAACACCAATACAAGCACCTATGACCTTCCTCCTTGACTTTCACCTAGAAGACCTTTGACATATCTCGTTCTCAAAGCACTAGAGCACTTGAAGAAAAGTGTGAGCTTATGAGGTTGGGCTAAAAAGACTTCTGCTGCTGCCAACGCTTCATCAGTAGTAATGCCTTCTAAGGCAAGCAGTTCATCCAATACTTTGTCACTCATCTTCGCAAGCTCCATCTCTCGGTCGTGGACCTCCGTCTCTCGATCTTCAGCTCTTTTCATGGCATTCGCCATTGCAGAAAGATGAACATTTATATTATCCGCAAAGTTTTCAAACTTGATAAATTCAGAAGTTTGTGATCCCTTAGCGGTATCAATACCCTTTCTTCCTCTTTTCATGTTTTGCTCTATTTTCACCTTCTTTAAAGGAGGTGTAGAAGATCCATCAGCAGTAACATCCTCATCACTAGATTCGAGACTAAGTGGTACAGTAGCTTCTTTCTCCAAGTTCTCAACGGCTTCAACAAAGCCCTCGGCAGACTTTCCAGTAGCATAGTCCTTCCCATAAATACTCTCCATTTCATTCAGGTAAGGGAATGGGACACCATACAAATTCCTACAATTTGGATGAATCTAAAAACAATATATTGGGTTAATGTTTACCCTATGAAATCATGGACTTTAAAGATAAAACTACAAAAGAAGAAGATAACAAACGTACCTTACAATACTCATCATACACTGATTTTTCAACAGCAATTGTATGCTTTTCATCAATGCTTTTCATCATCCCATTTGAATCCACTCGTTCCCAACATTTGCATTATAGCTCTATACTTTTTAACAAGTATTTTCAACCTCGAATCAATGTGGGGAGTAGCTTTCAACCCACATCTAGGAATGGTCTTGCTTATCAACTCTTCCAATTTGGACATATATCCATTTCTGAAACCATTCTCACACTTCCAATGACTATCAGTAGCCATTTCATACAAAGCAACAATGAGAGCTTTATCTTCCTCCGGAGTCCAATAGCGTTTGTTCCGACCCCTTCCGCCGCTACTCGCATTGCCCTCCTCCATCCTACTACTCAAGACAACATAACATAGTCACACAAAGCATATTATATAAACACAAAGTTCTATAACACGCAACATGGTCCAAAGTTCCATAACATACAAAACACATTATATAAGCACAAAATTTTATAACACACAATATGGTCCAATTGAACAAATTTCTAGCATATTTTTTTGAACAAATTGCAGTAGATTTTTTTTTGAACAAATCTGCGGCAGATTTTGTAAAAAAAGAAACAAATTCTTAAAAACTTGAGGGTTTCAAGATTGGCAGCACATTTGAGGGTTTCAAGTTTCGCAGCAAAAGTGGGGCTGGGTTTCAACAAATTGGGACTTTTTGGCAGCAAAGTTGAACAAAAACTTGAGGGTTTCAATAGAATTCTAAAAAAAATGTAAAAAAAGTTGTAAAAAATTTAAAAAAAATTGTAAACGATTGGTAAAAGAAACACATAAAGCAACTACATTCCGTTTAAAAAAATGAATTGTAAAATTTTGAATTTGTAAAATATGTAAACAAATTGAAGGGTGAAGAGGGATGGTGAAATTGCAGGGGGCAATCGCAGNAGCGGCGAGGTGTGTGGCAGATGGAGTTGCAGCGGCGAGCCGGCGAGAAAGAAACGGAGGGGCAGGAATATCGAAGGGTTGGGGAAGGGGAGGGTTAGTATAAGGAATGGGAATGGTAAACCCCGTATCTAGTGGGGAATGGAAAAAGCCCAAATGGGGTAATCCAAAACCTAAAAATGGGTAAAGGGAATGATTCTTTTTTTAAAACAAACAACAACAAAGGTAATCAAGGAATCTCCTAACCAAACGCCCCCCTAATTGATAATTCTTGCTGCGCTACGTAGCCAACGTACGGTCATTACAATGGTGTATATCCATCGAAAGTGCATGGTGAAAAATTATTTTTTGATTGTGAGAAACAATTATTTTTTGTTGATTGTGAAAAATTTCTACGTAGACTCTATTTCAATCTTGAAGGTTGCTGGTGAAGATATCCTTGGTGATCCGTGCCTTTATGACAACACACTGGCCTATTTAAATAGGCCAGAAGTTCAAACTGCTTTGCATATCAACGAGAGCCTCATACCATATAGTTGGAATGAATGCATAGGGTATTTTCTAATCAACTTTTATACATTCATTATTATTGTACTCATAAAACTAGTTCAGTCTATTGCGTCCTAAAAATCTAAAATAAACAAATCTTAAAAATTGCAGGCCTCTCAAGACTATAAAGGATGCGTATAGCACAAAACACTTTCATACACTCTCAACACTTTTGATGAGAAATATCCGAATTTTGTTGAACAGGTGACTAAGGCCCCGTTCCGTTCAACTTATTTTTTCTTATTTTTTCTTATTCTTATTAAAATCAGATCAGACCAGATCAGATCAGATCGAATTAGATCAGATCAGATCCAATCAGATCAGACTAGACCAGATCAGATCCCATCAAGAATTATTATTATTATTATTATTATTATTATTATTATTCTTAAAAATGAAAAAGAATAAACTTTAGAAATAAGTTAAATAGAAAACTGAGAAAGTAATTCTTAATTATTAGACGTCATAAAAACTATTTTTAAAATACATTGACAATTTCAATCTAATTCTACTTTTAAAATACATTTTTATTGCTACTTTTACTTTGAGTTTCTAACGTTTTGATCTTTTATAAGGATGAGATATTTTAATAAAAATACAATCTCTTTTACATAATGATTATCTTAATTTAATTACTTTTTAATATATATATATATATATATATATATATATATATATATATTAAATATTTATTATAATGTTTATATGAAGTAATTACTAAAATATTAAATTAATATTCTCATTTCACACAAAAAAATAATCATAAAATAAAAAATATTATTACATTATAATATGAATGATTATTCTAATATATGAATTACGTAATTTTATTTTATTAAAAAAATCATAAAATAAAAAATATTGATTATATTATAATATGAATTATCATTATAATTTGAATTTTAAATCAAATCATAATTAATCAGATCAAACCAGATTATATCAGATCAGATCCAATCAAATCAAATCAAACCAGATCAGATCAGATCAGATTAGATCAGATCCAATCAGATCAAATCAGATCAGATCCAATCAGATTAGACCAGATCAGAACTACAAAAATCAGATCAAATCAGAAAAAATAAGTTGAACGGAACGGAGCCTAATTCTAATTAAATACTACCACCTCTGATCCATTCATTCAAAAAATATGTGTCCCAGACTCACAACTATCTTTCTTCTACACAAATTATAACTTTCCACAAAACATTTCCACTTTGGAAAAAGGTTGGATTTAAATAATGTGTAATTTTAATATGGTGTTACTTTTTAATCTTGCCATTTTGACTTTGGGCCAAAATAAGAAAAGTGTTATTTTGGTTGACTTTCCAATTTTGCTCCTGATGTGCTGGGTAAAAGTAAGATGTGATAGTTTTGTTATTAGTGAAAGAGTATGATGTGATAAGTAGGGTATGAAAAAGTAGGGGTAAAAGTGGTTTTTTAATAGAAAGTGGAAGTGTTTTAGGGAATTGGAAAAAAACAAAAGGGGAAGTGTTTTATGGAATGGAGGGAGTAGTAATTAAGGTAGGACAAGATGTAATAAATAAATTAATAGTGAATAAATATGATGTGATATGTTTGATAATTAGTATGAGTAAAAGAGAGATTTTAATTGATAGTGGAAGTATTTTTTGGAACGAATGAAATTAAAATGAAAGATGGAAACATTTTTTTTGGGACGGAGGAGTACTTTTTTATTTCAACACTTGTAGAAATTAGTGAACCTGAAACGTTATTTACATTCCATGCTTATCGAGTATATGCACCTGTATTTACAAGTCAATTAAAATCCAACCTATTAAAATTCAAATAACCCATGCCCACTTGCAATAACTAACCCAATACTCCTCAAATTTGTGCATGATTATAATAAATGTCTAAATTGGTCAAGAAAAACTTAAATAATAGCCCAGACAACGCCTAGTAAACAAATCAAGAATTTGAAGACGCATAGGCACATAAGCCGTGACAACTTCCTTGCGCTCGACACACTGTCAAACTATATGCAATCAATATTAATATGTTTAGATTGTTTATGAAAAACACCTACAAGTTTCACAACAATAAATAAAGTAGATCAAAATTTTTATCACAATATAACATGAGACTCTTGGGAGTAGCTACAAAAGGGACGGCTAACGCGCACTTCAAGTATCCCACAAATCCACCCGATCTGAGAACAAGTGTTAGCCATGGTTTGATACTCGGCTTTTGTAGACGAATAGGACACAACTATCTATTTCTTGGCCCACCAAGAAATAGCATGTCCACCCAATAGAAAAATAACCAGTAACTGACCTCTGTGTGAGCGGGTAACTTGCCTAATCATATTCTAAAAGGTAGTGATTGCTAGATTACCATCACTACGCAAAAAATACTGTGACATTGATGTCCCTTAAGGTAGCGTAAGACCTGCAGAGCTGCATTGAGATGGTCTAAAAGAGGGGTCTAGAAAAATTGAGACAGAACTTGAACTCAAAAGGATATGTTCTTATGAGTGATAGTGAGATACAGTAGGTGACCCACAAACCTACAATTTTTAAGAGGCTCTTGTATTTTAGCACTAGTGGAACATGCAAGATTATCGTTCATTTGGGTTGGTGTATCAACAGGCTTACACCCCAACAAACCCGCTTCTTGTAAAACAATTCATGGTATATTTACGCAGGGAACACCTTACTATCGTCATTGCATAGACACTCGATCCCTATAATATAAAACACGAGACTAATATCCTTCATATGATGACAATCATCTAAGTATTCTTTGAAAGAAGTACAAAGAAAGTGGTTATTATGTGTGTGGCAAGAATATCATCCACATATATAAACTGTCAAGACCCGACAATATGATAAACAAACAAAGTGTGGTTAGCTGCACAAGGGACGCCTAACGCACGCTTCAAGTATCCCACGAATCCACCTGACCTCAGAACAAGTGTTAGCCATGGTTCGATACTCAGCTTTTATGGACGAACAGAATACAACTATCTATTTCTTGGTCCACGAAGAAATAAGAGGTCCACCATGTTAACGTGCGCGCTTCAAGTATCAACATAAGGGATGGCTAACACGTGCTTTAAGTATCCCACGTAACCACCTGACCTTAGAAGAAGTGTTAGCCATAGTTCGATACTCGGCTTTTGTAGACGAACAAGACAAAACTATCTATTTAATAGTCCATAAAGAAATAAGAGGTCCACCCAATAGAAAAATAACTAATAACTGACCTTCGTGTGAGCGGGAAACTCACCCATTTATAATCTAAAAGATAGTGAGAGCTAGATTACAATAACTATGCAAAATATACCTTGACCACGTTTGTGGTCAAGGTATATTTTGGTCTTCCTGAGCACAATTGGCAGCTTGATTGTCACCTCTTGATCTGCACTACTTGTTTGCATAATGACCACGTTTGTGGAAGTTATAACACTCCGCATTTGATCTTTCATTCATGTTCCTGCATCTGCGACCACGTCGTCTTTGCTGCCAAGAGGAATTTGGAGTGGAGTTGTGATTGGAACCAAAGTTGTTATGCTCAGCACCTCCATAATTCTGACCACGACGACCTTTGCTGAAATGGCTGCCACCACGTCCCCGTACTCTGTCTCGTGAGCTACTATGCCTGTGATGAGGATTACCGATTGAGGCTTGTGCTTGTAAAGCATGTTCAATTGTTTTTTCAATCTTATTGTCATTCATCTGTTGTTAATGTGCTCGTAAGGAACTGGACAATAATCTTAGTGTCATTATTGATAGAATCCTTTTGATGTAGGCATCAACAGCTTCTATGGTATCCATCTGCAACAACTCAGATTGGCGTCTTAGAGTTTGAAGACGCATCCTCTTCATTTTTTCATCACCTTTATAGGAGGCAGATGAAACGTTCCAAGCCTCGTTTTCATTTGCTGCTCC